AATATTATAACAAAAAAGGGTTTTATTAAATTTTTTCAGGTTTTTTAATTTAATGGAATATATTCAAAGAAACAAAATATTTTAAGTTTTCTTAAATTATTTTATAAATATACCTTCATATTTCTTAAACTTTAACATTTTATTTGTTCTCCTTTACTTAAGTGATTTTTCAATAAATACTGACATAATCTGACATAATACTTATATTTACTAAAATATTAAAAACTATATACATTTCTTTTATTAATTTTTTTTCTATAATTTTAATAAACAATTTAATAATTTAAATAAAAAAGGAGAAAAACAGCATGTTAATAAAAAATATATTTATACTTTTTTGTGCAATTGTTTTTTTTTCTATGTGACTGCAAATAAATTTAATGTTGTGAATTACAATATTTATGTATATGTATTGTTGTAAATGTGTTGTTTTTTTTTTTTGTGATTTTTTGCATTATGCATTTAATATAAAAAAAAAATATATTGAATTTGAATATATATTTAAGCTAAGCTATATAGAAATAAGATGCAAGCAGAATACAACAAAAATATTTACAAAAAAAATGTTTCGCTTATTGCAGCACAAATTTTTTGTTTTTAAGCTTTTGCGAATGAACTGCATTGCAATTTTTTTGTGCTTTTAATATTTAACTTGTTACTTTTTTATTTTCGTAATTATTGTTTTATTTTTTAATTTTGTTATGTTTTCTTAAAGCTTGTTGATGACACAAAAATGAAAATACACAAAAAAAAAAAATATAAACGCGAAAGAAAAAAGACTTACAAACAAAATTAATTTTAATCCTTTATTTTTATCCTATATTTATTTTTTTTTTTTAAATTTTTTATCTAAACCACGAATAAAAATAGCCTCGAAAATGCTTAAAAATAATGTTAGAAGAAAACGAAAAAAAAAAAAAAATAATAATTTTTTTTTCTGCTTTTCTTCTAACAACACAACTTTTCTCTATTTTCACATTTCCTTCTTTCTCTTTCTATCGTTTTCTTTTTCCTTTTTAATTTTCGTTTATTAAAAATAAAATAAATTATAAGAATTTTTTTTTTCATTTTCTCTTAAAAATTTTACTCTATATTTTATATTAGAAAACTATTATTCTAAATAAATGCATTTAAGATTAGAAAAAGATTTAAGAGATAATTAAATAATTAATATTGAAGGATTTTTCAGGGACCATGAATTGAACTCATACGAATTTAATTTATATGATTTTATTTAAAAAAAAAAAATCCAAGATTGTAATGAAAATATTTAAAAAATAAAAATATTACTGAATTAATTTTTGAACTAGAAAATAAAGCATATAATATAAATTTATATTTAATACACATTTCTGCACAATTCGGCAAATTAATCATTCGAATTGTACAAAAATGAATATTATCAGGTTATATGCATTTTATATAGTTAAAAAGTTGAATTTAATTGATTTTTTTTTTTACAAAATTATTGTGCAGTTACCAATGCAGATTTAATCATCATAATACACATATAACAGAAGTTTGTTGAATAAACTCTCCAATAATGTAAAAATTACATTCAATAAATTTGATAACAATAGAAAGAATACGTTGATTTAAAAATATATCACGACGAGTGATAATAAATACATTTTATAAAAATAATAATGTTTTTTTTTTGTGGGAAATATTATTGCCATTTCATGAGAAATAATATTATTGCATATTTACAGAAAAAATATTATTGCATATCTGCAAAATATTATTTGCAGTTCTTAATTTGAAAATTAAATTTTTACTAACCCTTAATCTACTACATTTCATGTCTTTTTTACCTTAAAAATGAATAAATAAATTGCGAGCAATATAAAATTTAAAATTTTTAATTTCTCAAATGTTACAGATTTCAAATCGTATGATCCTGCAATAATATTCAAAACAGAAGCTTTAAAAATATTAAAATTTATTAAAATCAAAAACTGTTATCATCAAGTAATTTCTATCATACTGAAAATTTATTAAGTTATAAAATTATTCAGTAAATTTTTTATTTATTGTTATTATTTATATTATTAGAGTTTAATATTTAAAAATTATATTAATAAAACTATATTATAACATATACACCCATACATATACGAAAATATTTTAAAATATTATTATAAAAAATGAATGCATATTATACAAAATGGATGTAAAGGATTAAGAATTGAAATAAAATCATATAAATTAACTTTAAATGATGTTAATTCATGGCACTAGAATTTACAAAAAAAAAATATTCAGACAAAACTATTTTTTTGAAATTACAAATTGAATCTTGTATATTTTTTTTTTTATTTTTAATTTCTATTTATTATTTCTTTAATTAATTTTTTTTAATGAATGAAATTTTTGGGACAAATAACATTCGGAATGTAATTTATTAATATTATTATTGAAGTTTTTCATTTAAAAAAGAAAAATTATGAAATTAAATTTTCATATTATTTACTTATTACATAATAGAATGAATGAAACTAGAAATTAGAGAGATTTTGAATGAAATATATAGTTAATTAATTTAAATTGAATGAATTTTTTAAATAGTAAAAAATACTTATGAAAAAATAAAAATTAGAAAAACTAATATACAAAAACTTGAACTAACAAAACTGCTAGTGAAAATAACTCGTTCGAAAAATTTTCATTTCGAACAACAAATTTTCATATTGAAGAAAGAATTCATTTTAAAAATGTTGTTTGTGACAAATGAACCGCATAATATGAAATCGTAAAATTTTCTCATAAAGTTTAAAAAATGTTATTTATTTCAGGTGAAAAATTTCCATAAGTCGAAAAATTTTCTTTTGTTTTACTCTTTGTAAAATTCAAAAGTTAATCAATATTTAAAAGGTTATTATACTGGGATTTGTACAAAGTTCATTATCATTAATATTCCATGTGAATATCCTTCTGAAATTCCAGTAAAATGATGGAATAAAGGAAATTTTTAATAGACTATAAATTAACTTTTAGTACTAACATTAAATTAAGGTGTGATAGTGTCGTCCATTAGAAGAAGAAATAATTTTTGTATTGTAATGGTTTTTTGCAACTTATTAATGTTTAATCATGCATAAAAAAATATTCTTTATTGATACTTTGACAATCAATTAATTTTATAAAATATAATGCTTGTTTATAGTAAAAAGAATATAATTGACTTAGACATTCAAGAAATTAATTTAGGAAGAGAAAATTTTATTATATATTTCGTGAATTTAAATAAAATCCTACAAAATATTACTAATACCTTTTCTTAAAATTCAATCATTTGATCGATATTGTTTCAATAAATCTCTTAATAGTAATTAATTTTCGAAATTTTCAAATATTACTAGCAGTTTTCAATATTTTCATTTTTTTTTTATAAAAATTATATTGATATTCTAAAACATATTGTGAAAATTATGTTTTGGGTATGATTTTAACAAAATGAAAACAAGAAATTAATTATAGATGAATTTGCATGTTAAATTACAAAAATATTAATTGAGAATGTTTTATATATGAAAATAATTGTTATAAAAAATATATACAATATAATTTTAAATTTTCTTAAATAAAAATCCTTAATGAACACCTTTACAAGAACGAAATTAAGATGATATTCCATCAATGAAGAAAAAATATATTCTTAATTGTAATTGTCAGTAAATGAATCAATAATTGATGTATGTTATTATCAAATCAAACCTTTTTTACAACAAACCCTTTATATACTATGATATAAGAATCTTACTTACAATTTTTGAATTGAAAATTCTATAATAAAGTAGTTGAAATATATTTACAAATTTTAAAATATGAGCATTTTCACTTAAAGTTGCAATTACGATATGCAAAGCTAGTATTATGAAAAGCTTGTACTTTTAATTATTAATTATGACTCATATAAAAATGTCGAATTGAATAATATTCAAAATTAATGTAACTAGTTACGGCAGGCTAGTCACCTACCTAGTTAAACTCTATGACGCTATGAAACTAGTGCATGAGAAAATCATGCACTAGCCCTATGCTCCTTCTAGGAGTGAAGAAGGAAAAAAAAAAAAATGTAACTAGTAAGTTGTATTTGTAATACAACAATTAATGTTAATTTATCAATTTCATAGAGATCCAATAATTAAGTTGTTAGCTTCCAATATTCAAATAGAAATATTTACGGAAATCCAATAAAGTTAGTTAAATATTTTTCGTTTATATGCAGAAACGTTTATTCTGCAGCAAAAACTTGATTTTCCACTAAATATAACATTAAGGCAAACATATGCGCACATATATACTTATAGCAATTATTTTCAATTTAGGGTTAATAATTATATATATTTTTTAATTTTTTGAAACGAGCTTGAGAATGATTAAAACAAAAATTTTAGATACATAGATAATATAAAAATTAAAAAACAAATTAAATTCAAAATTTCTAGCAAAATGTCACAAAAAATCGGTTTTTATATTTGATGAAATTTATTTATTTTATAAAATTAATAGAAATAATGTTAATATTTTTCTTATTAATAGAGATCATGTTAATTATAGTCCTGACAATTTCTGTTATATAATATTCTTTTCTTGTTCTTTCTTTCTTCAATACAATTTTTAAGTTTTTGATTTAAAATTTTTGCAAGTTTTCTGTTATTTATTTTATTTTTATTTATTTTTTGTTTTTATTTTAAATATTAGAAACAAAATATATTTAGAAATTTTTGAAAAGAACTCTACAAAATTTTAATAAATTACTTATAAATTATATAATATAATTAAAAACCAATATATTTAATTATTTATTTAACTAATATACGAAAATTTTTAATATTTTTCATTTCACTTATGTGAAAAACGTCTATGAAAAACTCTTCAATTATCGGCTATGAAAATGTCTATGAAAATGATGATGATCTTCAATTATGGAAAATAATCAAAAACACAAATAAAATTATAACGTAAAATAAAAAAAACTATTATAAAAAAAACAGATACGATATGACGACGACGACGAGGATGAAGGTCCACAACCGGATCCTGCACTTGAACAGGGTGTACCCATACCAGTTCGACTGCAGGGCGGCTTCCCGCCGGAACTGGCCTCCACTCCTCTCGAGGATATTGATCCCTTCTATTCGAATATACTGGTAAGTATATAATTAAAATTTATTTGATATGAAAATTTGAAATCACATTACAAAAATTATTTTTAATAATGGCAATGGCTGACAAAAGAAATTTACGAAGCTCAATTTTTTTTTAACTATTTGAATTCGCTTTGTATATTGCATTGATATAATATATTTTATTTATCAATGAAATTTATGAGTAAAATTGTAGTATACAATTTTTTGTGTGATTTTCACTTTGACTTGAACAGAATGTGAGTAATATTTTTTTACGATAACCTTCTGAGGAAATTTCCCTAGTTCTATTTCTTAGATAGTATAATAATCACAAAGTGTTTCTGTTTATTATATCAACTATGATTTATTCTCTCTCAATCCAAATCTTAACTTCAAAATCAGTTTTTTTTTTTTTTAATGTAGAGCTGATTTATTATTATTAAGAGTAAAACATTTTTGAAATTTGTTTTTACGTTAAAAAAATTTAATCCATTAAAAATATTTTCGTTAAATTAAATCAATTTATTTTTAAAATTTAAAGTTAAAATAAAAGTGTTTTATATTCTTATCTTTATATGTGAAATTCTACATCACAGTAAAGTGGCATACATTACAAATGTATACGAAAATGAAATTTCAAAATAATTTTTTGAAAAAAACCTGGAACATTAAAATTTTATCCTTTGATCCAAAAGACATACACATATATACAGGGTGATTCTGAAAGGTATACAACAACATATACCATTCGTTAGAGGATCGAAAATGGGTAAAACATTTGTTCATGACTGTCTGTCAAATTTCAAGGGTTTCCGAGTTCCAGGGATTTTAACGAATTTTCGCGAAATTTTTACTTATCCAAGTTTTATTGATTATAACTTCCGTTCTGAAAATTATAGGAACTTCAAACAAACAATTTCTGAAAGGCCTAGTAAAGTGCTTATAATAAACATGTTGTTTGATTCTGTATTTTATATACTTTTGGAATATCAAGCATTCAAACTTTAGGGAAAATCAAATTTTTCCCTTGTTTTATTTTTTCAGAATCACCCTGTATATACAAATTCAATGAAAATATATTTCCAATATGCAATAGTCATTGACTCCATTAAAATAAAGCATAAGAATTTTTGAACAAATTTTAAATATTTACAAATATTTCAATTTTATCGCTTTATATTTAGTACTAAGAGAATTTTTTTTATGCAAATTTAATTTTTTTACCTTATATTATTCGTGTTTTCTTTAAAATAAAATTTTATTAAAGCATACATTAAATTTTAGAATGTTGAAACTATCCGGCATGAAATCTTAGAAAATTAATTATATTTTTAAATATTTAATAGAAAATTAATATTTAAATATTTTATGTGAACAATACTAAAATTGCAGTGCGGATTCAAATTTTTGCTCGGAGAGCGTAAATTGTTGGAAAAACTATTTTCAATTATAATTATTAATGAATTCAAATAAATACTCATTTGTTCAATAAATAAAGAATTAGAAATTATAATTTTTTAACAAAAAAAAAAGAGTATTTTTAGGTTCACGAGCGCCTCCAATAGGAAAATAAAAGAAAAAAATATTTTATTAAAATATATGAGCATAGATTTTTGTTTTATTAATCAACAATTGTTTTTAATTGAATTTACAAATTTAAAAAATAAAAAAGTATAAATTTGAATCGATAATTTTTTTGCACAAATTATTTTAATAGATATTTTTATATATGTATGTATCTCAAATGTAATCGAGGGAAATTTCAATTTAAATTTTTACATCTTATATACCTACATAAATTTTTTCTTTTTCACATATGAGAAAACACATATATGGAAATTGGGATACAAAAACAAAACACTACTTATCAAAACAAAAGAAAAAATTTGTTTTAAAATTTGTTGTGAAGTTTTTTCTATAAAAAAACAAAAAAAAGGAAAAAATCTTGTGTCTTGTAAAATTTTTTTCACAAATTTTCTGTTCTTTCGATTTCTTTAAAAAGTACTAGAAGGTACAAGAAAATTCTTTTGTGATTGTTTATTAAAATAGAAAACCGCTATTTGAAACAACACAAAAAAAACAAAAATGAAATCGAATTTTTTTTTTTTTTGTTTTAAGTTTTATTTTAACTTTCTTTTGATTTTTTTTTCCTGTTTTCGTCAATATGGTGTACGCAAAAGCACTGCAATTCAATCGATACACTATCCTTTATACCGCATATCTCTTTTTTTTTCCTTATTTAAAAACAGACAAAAAAAACAGTAGCTACATATAATGCGAAATGTCTGTAAAATTTTGGAACGAATTTATGATTGTTTTATATGTGTGGATAATTTAATTTTAATTCGTTTTTATTTTATTTTTAAATACGAAATTATTTTTAAAATGAAAGCAATATGAATGTAATTTTATTTTCATAATTATTATAAAAGTTTTCTATATTTGAATAGCGAAAATTTGGAATTTACCATCAACAATGGAAATAATAAAAATATTTTCCTATTACATAATATTACGGGGCCGTTGAAAAATATGTACCGAAATCCTTTAAAAATTTACTTTTTTTCCTATAATTTAATCAAATCTTGTACACTTCTCTTTCGATGTATTTACTACATTTATTTGAATATTTTCTTAAAAAAGATGTCATTATATCTCAACTTACTGCAACTTAACATCAATGTATATTTTTAGGAGTTAATTATGCGGATTTCTACACTTATAATAATTATATCAAGTCCAATTGTCAAATAACATTATATAAAAATTATGAATATTGAAGGAATGCTTTGTTTTAGTAAATATAGTCAAAAAATAATTGCGTATACCATCACGATTTCAAATATTTCACCTTACAATAACGAAAAAAAAAAACAAAATTTGTGAATGCATAAAGAAATTTTTTAATGATTATAATTTAATTTTTTTAAAAAACAATTACCATTTAATTGTTATTTTAGGTTATTTTTTAAAATTAATTTTCTAAAAACTACTCAAAATTCATTCCTTCATTCAAATTTGCTAAATCATAATTTTAAGTCGACAACTTCAGTATTAATTGTTCATTTACAAAATTTTTGATTTCAATTTTTTTTTTTGTTTTCTATTTATTTCTTGAAATTTCTTGAAATTTTCATATCGCATATAAACAACTCCATACATACATATATATACATATAAGAAATGAAAAAAAAATATAAAATTTGCACTTTTATGTTAAATAAATAACGAAAGGATGTCATCGCATATAAAATGAAATGCTATTATTCTTGAAAAGAAAAAAAATTATAAAGGACCTGAAAATGTTTCCGCCTTTTTTCTATTTAAAAAATAATTCTAAATTTATATGTATAAATACGTGTATAACTAGAATATATTAAACAACAAGGTCATCAATTTGGATTTCTAATATATAAGAAATAGAAAGAAAAAAAAATATGCTTACATAAAAGCGACTAATGCTTTTTTTCTTTCTTTCTTTTTTAAATTATGGCGATAAAGTATTTTGTTTTTATTATATATTAATTTTTTATATTTTTTTCACAAATTTTAGCTGGGTATTTTATCTTTAATATGAAATAATAAAGTTGAGTCAAACCAGTGGTTTGTAAAGTAGGAAATTTCCATTTAAATTACTCTAATTTCACAAAAAATTTCAAAAATTGCATACTTCTGGGATGCAATAGAAAAAAAATTTAAGTAGGCTCTAACATAAGGCTCGAATTTAAGGGTTAATTTTATTAGTTAACAAAAATAATTACATTTATAGAATATACCGGTTTTTTTCTGCATTTATAAAAATTTGGAAAAGCTTACAGTTTCGGAGATATATGGTTCTGAAAATTTGAATTTTACAAATTTCGAGAAGAGATAGCTTCAGAGGGAGTAGATTGAAAAAAATTTTGTTCTAAAGCAATAAACTATTTACTAATATCTAAAGCTGCTAAAATTTCAGACTCCTACAACCTATTGTACAGAAGAAAAACGAAATCGACAATTTGAAGAAAGCGTGCTTTAGATAACGGTTAATATTGACAGTCATTTGGCTTTTTGAATATTCAAATATGCTGTATCGCAGTGGAAGAGGCCAGCTGCAAATAATTTTTTGGTTTTTGCAAAATCTCAAAAATGTTTATAGTTTCTTTTACATAAGTAATCAAAAAATGGAATTTCTAGGTCTTTGAAGGATTAAAACTCTTAGAAGGGGGGAGATAGGCAAAAATTTTTCAAATTTTGAAAATAAGTTTCTTGTACAAATCTATTTATATATGAAATTTTCCACCTTAAAAGTTTTGAAAGCATTTCCACGAACAGACGAAGTGAAACTAGTTAGCATTTTTTTTTTAATTTTTCTCGAAAAGTGTTAAAAACGAATAAATGTAACTACTATAATAAACTTCTATAGTAAACAAGTTTTCTTTAATTCCAAATATATGTATTATTAGAAACAGACCTACTTCACGACATATGTGTAATATTACACACATAACTGTTGTAGTGAAACCATTTTATACTCGTATATCAAATTTCAAACAACTTATACATGTACATGTAACTCAAATTTCAACTAATTTTGAACAATAATTCGTCCGCATAAATGCGAAAATCTGTTATAATTTCCCACTTCCTTTATTGCTTTATTTCTTTTTGTAAATTTTTTAACATTTCTTTAAAAAAATAATAATTATATAGTCATTTGAATAATTAACAAATTTTTACTAGTTTTCAAAATTAATTTTGTATCCGTTTCATTTTGTATAATAAAAATTAAAATGTAATTTTTTCTTCAATTTTAAGAAAATCAGCTTTCAAATATTTGTCTTTGAAAATATGTAAAATTCAATTACTTTTTAAATTGTATAACGAGAGTCGAATATTATTGATTAATTGCAAGTAATATACAATTAAGTAGTTGGAAAATTTTTATACCTTACAACTATGTTTATCTGTCGCATAACATGAAAATGAACAAGGAAAAAAGACTTTACTTTTATAAAACCAAAAAACAATATGATATAAAATTGCCCTTTTGTTATAATTATTTTTATATACTGTATGCACATATAAAAAAATATAACATTATTGATATATTCAAATAATAATATGCATGTATAGAGATTTGTATATAATTTACAACATGTAATATGAACTAAAAGGAATATAAGTAATTTTATTGTTTAAAATAGGACAAGGTTGAAAATTAAAGATTTTTTTTCTTTTTGTATCTTATACACAGCACACAATGATATAAACATATAAATTTTAGCATATAACAAATTAAATATATACATTTATACTATTTTATATATATGTACTTATATAAGTATACTTAAAGATATTCATATAAAATGAGCAATACCTTGAAATTCATAATATTACAAAAAAAAAATATTGCATATTTATTGGGATTCAAAATTTTTAATATTTTTAAATGAGAAAGAAAAATTTAATTAAATTGTATTGTTCATATAACTTTATGCTGCTGAAACTTGTTTAGAAATTTCAATCAAAATCGATTTTATCAAAGTTCATTAAACTAATATGAATCGGAATAAGAGAAACAAAGTTGATTTTATATTATATAAAGTGTGTACAGACATATATATTGCAAATGGAGTAAATATTAGAAAAATATAAATTTTTTCATTGTGGCAAATTATTAGGTAAAATAAATTAACCTTTAATAGCATATAGTAAAGTACTATATATGATACAAATAATGACAATTTAGCTTATGGTGTCAGCTTACTTTGTTTTAACATACTACAACTTCATTTTCAAGAAAGTCAGCTCACTTTGTTTTAACATACTACAATTTCACACTACATTTTCAAGATTGCTGAAATACAATAAACATAAATACAAAAAATTCAGCAATTACAAATTATAAGGAAAAATGCCTCGAATTCTGTATAACTGCAGGTTTATAGTCACAGTAAATTTCAAATAAAGAATTATTTTTTAAGTAGGAAAATTTAAAAGTAACTGGAAATTCGTTATATTTTTACAAATATAGCAAATATCCAGTTACAACAAAAATCCTTATGTCAGCATGAATATAATTTGCAGAAACAAATTTCAATATTAAATTTTAAAATATTAAATATTGTTTTTAAATTTTAATAATTTTTGTTATATTGCTTACATAAATACATTTTTTTTTTCATTTTACTTATTTTTTCAGACGTTTGTAGTAATAAGTAAAGGCAAAGATATTTTTCGTTTTTCCGCAACAAAAGCAATGTGGCTGCTCGATCCATTCAATCCAATTCGCCGAGTAGCTATTTATATTTTAGTACATCCACTATTTTCACTTTTTATAATAACAACTATTCTCACTAATTGTATATTGATGATAATGCCTACCACACCAACAGTGGAATCTACAGAGTAAGTGTAAAAATTAATTAAATTTTTTTTATTAATTTAAATAAATTATATAATAAATAAATAAATAAGCAAGGATAAAATTAGCTATAATTATAATATTGTATTAGTTTTTTATATTTTATAATTTTTATAGATTTTAGATTTTCAATATTATCTATATACAAATATACTCGTATATACAAAATTATTTATTTATATTATAATTTTATTAAATAGATGTATATTTTTTTTTTGATTTTTCTTTTTGTTTTATCATGTTTTAAAATTTATTTTTATTTGTGATATTTTTTTTGTTTTTAATTTTATATTATATATATAGTAGATATTTAAATATAATTATATACATTATATAAATTATATAACCTGAAGTAGAATTTAAATTTTTTTTTTATATAATAATATTATATATTATAGAATTAAAATAATATTCTTATTCGAATTTACAAAAAAAATATAATAATTTTAAAAATTTATGACACTTATATTATATATGTATGTATGTATGTAATGATGAAATGTAAAATTATATTAAAATTTTTTTTATAAGAATTTGTAAAACAATTTTCGTGAATTTATTTAATAATTTCTTTTTTTTTTTTTTGTTTTGTTAACTTCTACAATGTAATTCAAAATTTTTTGATTTTCATAATTTCTATTAAATTTATTATTGTTATAGTTAAGAAATATTGTTTGGATTAAATATAATTTAGCATAAAATAATAATGATTATTCACTTAATGTATAATTAAAATTTTTAATAAAATTTAAAATTTCATATATAATGACAAAGTCATATAGGAAATAGGATTCTAAATTATTAGGAATAATGTTATATTAATGTACTTCAACAAAGAATTGATTAAATACGTTTAAATTACGAATAAATAAAAGAATATTTTTGAGTTGAGCCAATTAATTTAATTTACTGTATTTTGTCGTATATGTCAGATAAGTTTCTCACTATGTATTAAAAAAAATTACATCTCTCCCTATGGCTTTGATATATATATATATATGCTTTCAATAGCTTTTTAAAAAAAACTCATAATTTTTCGATGAACTAAGAATTTTATAGATTTAGAAGAAAAAAAAATATATTCTCAGTTTAATTTTTTCAACAGAATAATTGAATAATTTACAAATACCCGTATTAATTTGTAAATATATTTTGAAATAATCGATTTCTTTCTGCATTTATAGCAATATATTCATGATTGTTCCAGGAAAGAAATGAAATTGCCAAATATATGAGAATGAAATTCACATGTATACAAATTAATTTTATATTGCAATTTCGTTTTTTCTATTTCAATTTCCGAAATAACAAATTTTTTGTTGATAAAATATTGCCAATCAAAAATAATTTGAGAAATAAAACTTTTGAATGAAATTATTATACTAAAATTCTTGATAATAAGAGAGTGAAGATTTGTTTTGATGCCAAAATAAGGGAGTTAATTGTAAGGTTTATAAACAAATAATCGAAAAGCCAAATTCTAAAAATCATGATAACAGTCTAACTGCTAATTTCATAGAATAAATAAAATACAATATAACATTGATAATAAAATCTAAAGTTAATAAGTTAATTAAACAGGTTTGTCAGGAAACCTTTTCATATTCATCTTTTTTATTTCTTTTAAATGTAATTATAAATTTCTTTTATTTTTAATTTTAAATATTTTAAAGTGGTAGATATTTTTCTTTTAAAAGTATAAATTTATAGATTTATAGAAAAATATTGTTATATTAATAGCAAAACACATTATAAAAAATTATAAAATAATAATATTTAAAATATAGTTTTTTGAATTATAATTAAAACATAAATATATATATATATATATATATTATGTAATTTTATTATGGTAGTTTAAAAAAAATTATACGATTTATAAACGCAACAAACATTAAAAAAAAATGTTATATTCAGTTTTACATATTAGTTGATTTAGTAAAAAAAATTAGTTAATAATAATCATCACGTATATTTAAATTTTATAAAATTATAAACAAATTTTTATATATATGTAAGTATTTAAATTTTACTTTTATTTTAGATTAAATTGTAGACCGTTATACAATTTTTTGTCATATTCATAGGATCATATTTTTAAATATTCAGAAAAAAAAGTTACATATATTTATAGATGTCCTAAAACTAAAGCAATCGAAATGGTAAATAATAAAATATCTTCCGTCGTAATTGAAAACTTCTCTTCGAAACAACCTGATTACAGTAGTTTTTTATCAAAAATTTAATGCCATAAATTTTTATTTCAACAGTTTCGTTCACCATTTTCCAAATTTTTGTTCATGAAGAAATAAAAAAATTGCAGTGTATCTTTATTTTTAAAAAATAAATAAAATAATCAAACCAGCGCTAGTAATGTAAAAACTCAGATGGAAGTATTATAATTTTTGAATTTGCAATATTCAGATCTATATTAACCTTGTAAAATTTTTGCTTATTTTGAATAATTCTACTGTAATTAGATTAACATGAGAAAAATGTGGAAATTGTACATTTTTGGACAAACACATTCGAAAATTTGATTAACTTTAACAAATATTTTAACCAATTTATAAATTAAGTACTTAAATTTGAAAGAGTTAAGTTGAAATATCATTTAAAATTCCGAGAGTCCATCAAATTTTTTCAAATATTAATTTTGCCTTGAGAAGTTTTGGGCACAAAAATTATTAAATTTCACAAATTTTTTAGCCAGGCCATTATAACATTTTAGGACATTATGTACATTAAATATAAAATTATTTAATAGTTTTCTATATATTTTTCTATAGTAACAGTAGTATATTAAAAAAAAATGGAAAATTTATACAAGTATAGTTCTAGTTTTTTAGCAACAAAATTATATTGATAATTAATTAACAAAAATAAAATCATCAAATATTCAATTTAAATTAATTATATCATAATTTACGAACATGTATATTAAAAATTATATATAAATAGATTGAAAAATTTAATTGTAATTTTTTCCTATTTTCTATAGAAAAATAAATAATACTTGTCTACGCCAAAAAAAACAAAAAACTCAACTTTCATAAATTGAAAATTTATTTTAATTATTCCAATTTATTGATAATAATTGAATATAATAATCGAAACGAAAATAATCGAATTGACTTTTTATACATTATATTTAATTGGAAAAGAATATTACAATCTATAGATTGGTTATGATTTTTTTTTTTTTGGTGCAGATAAGTATTCTTGTTTAATATTAATTTGTATAAATATTCGAAATTTCATTATAGAAATTTACAAAGGCAACTGTTTATAACAAAATCAGAGAAATAATTATAAAGACATATAAAAATATACAAATTATAATTTCACGAAATTTTCAAGAGTAAATGCCTAATATTCGTTTCAATTCAAAGGAATTTTCCTTTTAAAACATATTTTCGACCATTATTGTTACTGCCTACATTCACGCATCGCCTATGTAACATGGTCGAAAACTTATTTAATTTTTAACTTAGTAAATATTTAATTTAGATAGTAACATCAAAGAGCTGGCAAATATGTTAATAACATTTATTAAACCAATATGTATTTTTAAAGATTTATATTCATAATAATAGATTATATTCAATGAAGCCATAATGGTGATTAAATATTAAATATTTACAATAAAATTTCAAATTTTCTTTTAACTAAAATTAAATACTTACAAATTATTGTATTTTTAAATATATACTTATTACAAAGTTATTGTTATATAAATATATTAAACACGAGACTTTCTAGAACACAAATAGTTATTTACATTAAATTACAAATATTAATTTTCTCTCCGACTTACTTAAAATAAAAGTTTCAAAAACAAAACTTCAAACTTTAAATTTTCAAATTTTTTTGCTAATTGACAAAAATTCAACTTATACATACATGCAATATGCACATACATATTTGTTATAATCAGTTTCACCATTGTATATTTTATTCCCTTAGATATTTAAATTAACACAAAAAAAAAAAAATTTAATGTAAATTATTCAGTTTATATTTTAAAATTATTATAATAGAAATACATATCAAATCGTCTCATCATATTACAGAATATCGTAAATTTGATTATCGTAAGAAGTCACTATTGTAAAAGAAGCATATCGTAAGTGAGATATATATTTTTAATTCTGTTATCTATTAATACACAAATCATAATATTATATATATATATTGTATAATATTTTTATTAATAAATATATATACATATATATATATGTATATATATATATACATATAAAAAATTATTTTATTATATATATTATATATTTTGTATTGTAAAATCGTAAGTGCCATTGTTACTAAAAAAAAAACCCTTTTTATGAAAGAAGAAACCAAAAGAAAAGTAAATAATCAAAAAAATAGAAAGAAAACTTAAAATTTTGCAAAAAAAAAAATTTAACTACTACTACAGGTGTAACATACATACCTTATACATTATTTAAAATAGATTGAACATAAAAAAAGAAAAGAAAAATAACAAAAAAAAAAATTTTTATGTTCGCTTTAAAAAAGATGAAGAATGAATGAAGGAAAAAGTCGACATCCATAATTTGTATAAGTTAAAAAAAAAAAAATTCTTTTTTATTTTTTGAAATTTCTTTTAATTTAATGTAAAATTTTATAGTTTTTTCTTTTATTATTTTTAATATTATTTTTCATTTTCATTTTCAAAACATATTTGAACACACACTTTTATTATACAAATATACTAAAAATTATTCACATATATACAAAAAATTATTTTCTTTTGAAAACTGTTATACAATTTTTTTTTTTGAATTTCTAAAGTACAAATACATATATACATGTGTACATTTTACATAAATATTAATACAGTTATTAAGATGAAAGAAATTTTATACCAAAACTATTTATTAAAAAAAAAAATAAATAAATTTATTATTTTTTTTTTTAAAGTTATTAAATTTTTCCTTTTGTATTAATTTTTTGTTTTTGATATATTTACATATATTTTTTATATAATAAAATATAGTTTTTTCAATTTTAGTTTATTTCTGTTTAATTTTTCATTTTATTATATTGCTATTTTAAATATTTTATTTTTTCGGTTTTATTTCTTATTTTATAAAATTCATTCGTTTTTAGGGTGATATTCACCGGAATCTACACATTTGAATCAGCTGTTAAAGTGATGGCACGAGGTTTCATATTAAGCCCGTTTACGTATCTTAGAGATGCATGGAATTGGCTGGACTTCGTAGTAATAGCTTTAGCGTGAGTTTGCCTTTCTTTGATTTTTCATTGTTTTGTTAATTTAATAAAATATAAAAAAAAAATTCTTTTAATGAAATATTTTGATGATTTTATTAATGCATTAAATAAATATGTATATGTTTGAACTAAAGATATTAAAACGGTTAATTAAGAGCAATCTTATATTATAATGCGCGCATAATGCAGTTTCTCCTATGCTCAGTTCGATTACACTGAAAAAAAAAAATGAATAAAAAATTTTCTCATTTTTATAAAAACTCATTCTTTTGTAAATATTACAATTGTTTTGAGTCAAATTATTATTATCAAGATGACAAGAAAAATCGACCCTAACAAATACTTATATTTAATTGAAAATTTTTAAAATAAAAGGTTTAATTTTAAAAAGTTTTATTGTTATAATTATGAGACTAGAAAGAATACCAATTTGATCAATTGAATTTGAAATCTCAATAATTTTGGTAAATTAAAAATATTTTGTCATCATCTTGAGGCGAATATTGACCCAAAATTATCTTGAAAGTTTTGATAACGTGAAATATACATTCTTATAAAGCTTATATTTTTCAAGGCTCTTTTTGACTTTTTAAAGCACCAAAAAATACTAAAGCAAAAGTTCTTTGTGTCACCATCGGTTATAAGAGGTAAAATGATTTGTATGAGGTATCCTTAAAATTCTATTTTTTATGTTTTTAGAAACCTTATTAATTAACGAGAACGTACTAATATGTGAGAAATACTCAATGCATGGTCAAATATTTTTTCAATATTAGGTTCCATTTTGTTATATTATTCAAATTAGATTTGTTTTTATTATTGTTATAATGGTTATTATTATATTTTATTTTTATTATAATTATATTTAATTTATGAAAATTTCTATATTTTATACAAAATTGTATTTGCATTTATTTATCATAATTTAATATTGATATATTCTTTTCGCTTTATATCTTTGGAATAGTTAATTACATAATTATAGGAAATCAATAATTATAAATTAAATCAAAAATATTATATTTATAAATTAAAAAATATTGTTTTAATATTAAAATAAATTAGAAGACAAGGAAAATTATTATAATAATATACAAATAAAATAGGGAAACTAAATGTGCGGTTAAAACGTGACACTTAAATATAACATGATTTGGATATTATTCTAAAATATTATAAATGCACTCATATAAAATATTTACATATGAATGTATATAACATATTACAAATTTTCATCATTAGATAATGTATTTGTTTATATGTATATACACAACTTCTTAGTGTATGTACATACTTGATAAAAAAACGAAATGAACAAATATCCTTTTTATATGAAAATATCATCATAATTTCATCATATACATTAATAAAGTATATGTATATACATGAACGTATGTTTGTATATGAATAATAAAATCAATAATTTTGAGAAAAAAACGACTGATGTCATTAGAACTCTTTCAGAATCTTTGACATAAACAAAGAATATAATAAATATTTATGCATATGTGAATTTAAATAAAAATATATATATATTATATACATACATATATTATGTATTATTATAAGTATAAACTAATACTATGGAATTACTTTTTAACTTACAAGGATACATATAATATTAAAACGTAAAATGTATAATGAAAGAATAGAATTGTTATTGTTTACTTATTATTTATTTCAGTGTTTCATTAAGTAAAAAATTTTTTGTGTAGGTGTTTTAAAATTAAAAAATATAAAAAACAAATAAATAAAAGCAAAAAACCAAAAATGACAAAATGAAAATAATAAAATCCAAATTTTAAAATTTTTTTTAGATAACAAAGAAATTATGAATATGCACTCATCAGTTTAGAAATGAATATTTGAATACAAGATTCATTGTTAACAAAAAAAAAAAAATTGTTGAAAATTTCGATTTTATAAAAACTCGAAAATTTCTGTTTCATATTCCATTATTATAAAGATAAATTATTTTCTAAATTGGCATGATATTTTTCGTTATTATTAAAGTCTTTTTCCTATTTTATAATCTATAAAAATATTTAATATTTAATCTATTCAGAATTTTAAAATTTTTGGAATTATTAGTTAAAGCAGAGTTCAAATAACTAATATGTTGTAACCCATAATATTTTTTCTCTCTCAATTAGTTAATATTTCGAATCCAATAAATTGCTCCACCTCAAGAAACTAAATTGTTTACATATACCAATTCAATTGCATATACAATAAAAATGATTGTTCAACTTTTAGGATATGTCAGGTCTCGGGAACTGGATTTTACATATAAGAGCATATGAAAAGAAATAATCAATTAAGTTCATTGAAAATCCCAAAAATTTTTTGGAAATATTAGGGCTCGGAAATCCGATTTCACTCTTTTTGGCATATCTACTGAACTAATTGATGGAATTTTTTTTTGAAATTTAATATTTGAATTATGGTATGATTGAATACCATAATTGGAATAGCAAAAAGTTAAATCTACTAAGAGCAAAATTCACATTTTCTAGGTATATTGACCAAAAGCTTTACAACCTTAAAACTGCAAAGAAGTGTTAAAAGAGCATTTTCTCGATTATGTGCAGAACACATCAGATTTTTTTATTTTTTTAATAATGTTATTTTATTATGCATACAATATAATTAAATATATTGTATTACGAAACAGCATAAAACATAAAAACTATATTGCTATATGTTAATAGTTTCGAACTTTTTTCGAACGCAATATTTGTTCTTTTTCGTATTCCAATGCTAAAATAAAAAGTTTAGAAAATGTACTTTTTGTACACAAGTTCATTCTTGCAATAAATTCCTGTACAAAAAGAAAATACGAATGCTCATTTTACTTGAAATCTCTTTTTCTGTATTCATTTCTTAATAATAATAATGATAATAATAAAGAGAGCATTTACTATATTTATACAATAAATTACATAATATTATGTAACGTATATTTTGATTACATACGTTAATGTATAAGAATTTCATTCCTATAAGTTTCTATTTTAATTTTTAATTCAGAATTGCATATTAATTTATTTTAGTTATTTTACTTTGAAATTAACACAAACATTTATGCACATCAAATCTATTTTATTATTTATATAAAAACATTGAGTTTATTTGAAACAAAAAAGAAACACTGAGAATATTCATGCTCTAAAAAAATTTCTCCCTATATAAAATATAAAAATTTCCATATTTACGTATTTCTCTTTTTCTTTTACTTTTCTTTACAAGTGATTATGTTAATTATAAAAAAAAATTCTGCAACACTGAAACAAATAATGGCATATTACACACATAATATCACATACATATATATTTATACATAAATTAAATCAGTATCCTTATTAAACTCTTTAATTTAATTCTGTTTTCAGTATCTATTTCATGAAATTATTATGTAAATAATATGAAATATAATATTTATAAATCTTCTGAATATATTCATATATCTACATTATATGTTTGCCTCTACATCACGAACCTATAATTTATTTCATATTGTACATATTTATTGTATACATACTAACATATGTATACGGTAAGACACTCAACTGTGTCTTATACTAAAGATAAAAATAAAAAAAAAAAATTAAAAACTAAAAAAAAAAATTGAAAAAAAAAAATTTTTTTTTTCTTTTTCTTTAAAAGGATTCTTAAAACTTAAGTGTCCTTATTTTCTATCATGATTATGATGGCTTATTGTAAGTATGTACTTTATGAAAAGGAATGTTCATTCTTAGTGTCAAGAAATTGCGCTCAGATTTTTTCTTATTCTTCCTTTATTATATTTACCGTATACATATACATACTTACACATTACATTTATAATGATTATTAAAAAATAAAAAAAAATACAAAAATATAAAATATAAATATTCATTTTCATTGAAAAATTTTTTAAATTAAACTATTTGAAATAAACAGTACTCGAACTAGACTTTAATATTTTACACGTTTTCAAAAACCTTATTAATTTTTTTTTTGTTCTTGTCTCTTTTTATATTTATACATATATATATATAAATATATAAAAAATGCTTTTAAATTATTTGTACATTATTTTAGAAAAAGAAAGGAAAACTAGTTGCAATATATAACATAATTAGTTTTTCATTCTTTTTTAAAGTTTTAAGTATAATCAATAGAAAAATTTTAGGATGCTATTCCAATATTATGTAAATAAAATCAATTTTATATGAAAAGAAAATATATGATAAGGTTTTTTTATGATTTGTGAATATATTAAATAATAAATTAGTATAACAGTTTAATAACACTATGATATACTGATTTTCAAAGAAAAATAATATTTTTTTAAATTAAATTTGAAATGAAATTGTTCCACTTACTTTTTTTTGAGTTTTTTTTCATTAAAATAGATTTTTTAAGTATATTCTAGAAGAATATTATATATTATAATAATACCGGGATTACTTTTTTAAAAAGCCCTTTGAAGTATCAAAAGAAAATTTTTTATTTACAGAAGTGTTCAAGAAATCAAAATTATTATTAGAACAATTAGTAAAAAATCAATCACTCAAAAAAATCGCTCAAAAAAATCACTTAAAAAATCTGTTTGAAAAAACTTCAGCTAAAAAAAAACAAAAACCGCGGCTTCCTACCATAAGAAAATTACCAAAATATCATTGTCAAGAAAATCACTCAAAAAAGTCACTCAAAAAGTCACTTAAAAAAATCTCTTAAAAAAGCACTCAAAAATTACTCAAAAAAGTCACACAATGAGTGTATCTAAAGGTCCAGGACTCAGCTTTCTACGTTAAGCTGTTTTCATGTAAGAGCCATTTAAAAATGTTATCAAAAGTGTGACCGACAAACAAAAGACACCTGTAAGAATGAATGTGTATGCAATGAGCGTATTATAAATTGAATACTATCCTTTTGTAACGCTATTCGTGAGGATATCATAGTGTTGTTGCGGTCAACTCTATGTATTCTCGTTTTAAATAGTTTCATTTATAAACAGA